TTACATTTTTGTTATTTTTTATATATTTATATTTTAGTCTTCATTTTTCTTTTTTGTTATATATTTATTTTAGAGGTCTCTCTTGTAAATCACCTTATGGTGACAGCGATAACCTCAATAAAGATTATTTATTATTATTATTAAATTCAATTGCAATTTAAATTTAGAATTATGATTTTTGTGGAGGGAGAGGAACTGGAAACTGGAAATTGGAATTTCTAAGGGGTGGGGAGGATCAGTAAAGGCCAGGGCATATAGTTTAGTAACAAAAACCAGTAAAATTATCCATCATTCCCCCATAAAGGGGTATTGAGGATCTGTGGAGGGTATATTGTGTAGTTCCAGAAAATATCCATTTATACCTCACCCATGAAGGGGACTAAAATTTCAAAGGGGTGAGGAGGGTCTGATTTAGAAGGCTATATATTTACTTTGTAAATATATGAGGGAATCCGGAATCCACGAAATTTTAGACTTTGGAATCCGGAATCCAACACTCTGGAATCCAGAATCCAGGCCTTGGAATCCGGAATCCAGTTTACGATGGAATGCGGAATCCACCTTTTTGGAATCCGGAATCCACTACTTTGACATACGAAGTATACACTCAAATGCTATCGTCTCGACCTAGACTGAACCGATGTAGCCCCTCCCCGACTGTGTAATATCTCCACCAAGAATATCTGTCATCAGATGCTGATTTAATTGATAGACGATTCTACTCATACTGGCAAGTATATCAAATATAATTTTCAGAGAAAGTATCTGAAAATTAACAATATGGAATCCGGAATCCGCAATACAAAAGTTTTGGAATATCTATACATCCAAATGGAGGAAGATTGGAATTTCTAAGAGTGGGAAGGGAGTGGCATTGGTCTGAAGAGGGTACAGGATATCACGGTATTTCAAAAAAAAAATCTACATATTTCCCTTATAGAGAGGGATTGGAATTTCTGAGGGGTGGGAGGGTCTTAGAGGTGTACATAGAAAGCACTGTTAAGTACAGGCTGGTAATGTCTTGAACCATGAACACTCTTTTTTCGAGTTGATATTTTATAAACTTTCTACTGTTACAAACTCTCTAAAATGAAGCATGAGTTTATAATCCGAAAGATCAAAATAAATCTTATTTCCACTCGATTCGCTCAAGGGATGATTTAAAGTAAGTTATATACATTTAACAATTTAAAGTGACAAACTGAAACCTTTAGACATCAAATATATATATATAGCACTTTCACAGTGTAACACCAAAGTTTAAAAAGGGCAAAACAGAATAATTCTTCCTATATTTAACACATGAATTAAGCTTATTAACTCTACGGCGTTGCCATAAATACATATAGTCGCTAAACTATATTAAAATATCAAATAATCTTATCAGTTACTACAAAAGTTCATCAAATTATCATCATTAAATGGGTTCAGGAACTTACCAATAAGACAGCTAAAATGAAATCTTAATTTTAAGGAAAAAAACATCGAGCTCGCTCACTTTATAATTATAAAACGATGAATGACAAAGAAGAGTAAAGTTCCGAAGCCAAGCTTGGATATTTGCCGGATTTTCAAAGCTCTAAAGTTCGCCTTATTACATAATTAAATCTTATTGTAGGATTACTTACTAACCTTATAGTCTTTTGAAGAAGTTAAGCCCGTAGAACGCCACATATTTAATCTAAAGTCTTCAATGAATGAGTTATAGCGACCAAAAGAACAGCAGGTGTGAGCTATTTTATTTGGCTTTCAATGAATAAAAGCACCAAACCTTTTATTCAAAAAAAGCCACTAGAAATGCGACTTTTAGGTTGACACTTTTCAAGTTGGAAATATAAACATTTCGCATGGAATACAAGATTAATCATGGCATGTAGAAGGAACTACAATTTATAAAAGTAATAAAATATATTGCGTGTCCAAGGGACAATGAAMATTTTTTGTTCAGAAAGTGAGATTTGACAAGGCGTTCTTGGCGGTAACCGCGAAAACTGTTACTAGGGAAACGTCAATTGGGATCCCTGTGTTTTATTCTATTGAGTTTCTTTAGTTTCTTTCTTTCTTTCTTTCTTTCTTTCTTCCTTTCTTTCAGATTTTAACGCCATCACGTCATAACCTTAGGCTGCTCCTCTACCTCACTGTAGTTACCTCTGCCCAAAACCGAGTATCTGAAGAAAAGTTTCTCCCATAGTGGAGCAAAATTATGTGGAATTCGCTTCCTGAACGCCCCATTGTGGAAATCAGCATTAGTTGACGGGACAAGCGTGTATAAATATGGTCCTTCCTTACCTTACCTTACCTTGTCAGTCATTTTCGGTATCTTCGGATCCCCAACCACGACATTGTAGGAGTTTGAGTTTAAAATGTATTAATTTCTAGAGGTCGCTCTAAGCGTAGTACAGAGGTTATGCAGTGCTGATAAGTCCTAAATGAGGTCGAAAACGCTGTCCATGGTTGTCTGTACAGTGTACACTGCTTTGCACCATTACGTGATAATAATAGTATTTCTCGTGTAAATCAAATTAGACCAGTTACTGCCTCCTGTCTTTGCTGCCATCACATGATGGTGCAAAGCCTCTATAGGCTGATGCGCATGCCTGTGATGTCATGAGCCCAATTTGTAAAAAGCAGTAACATCATCACCACCATCATCATCAATTATCGTCATCATCGCCATCATCATCGTCACTCATTATCAACAGCAGCATCTTGCATTGGCGGACAAGTGATCAATCATCACTGTCTTTTTACATCTTGATAATTCGTATTGCGATCTGGATCTGGCTTGCGCGCGCAATAAAATGAAGGGCTCCRATCAGGGAACGAGTTCTGTCACAGAATCTCTATTTCAAAACTGATCATTGTGCTACTACTGTTTTAAAGCTCATTGATTGAACCCACTTTCGTCTTCGTTGGTCCGTTATACATGTAAAATGTATATTCTTTGATTGGTTTWAAAAAAATGTTAATTATTCATTCTAATAATTAAGTCATGTTTCTGCAGCCGGATTTGGTCAGAAAACGAGGCGACTATCATTATTTCCTACGCTACTGGATTCCCTATTTTTGACTTTATATAGATTCCTTTCCTTGCAAGATAACGAACGGGAAAGATGCCAAATAAGACCAAATCTTGGAAGACTTCTCTATTAATCMTAAGTTAGTGATGACTCCCTTGTGATATCGTACTTAATAGAGACGATGCGATTAGAAAAGTGAAGATAAAAAGACAAAGCTCTTAATGGTCTAAGAGAGACCACTCTTAGCTACAATGCTGTTCCCATTTTTACCTGTTTGATTCATAGAATTCTTTTGAAAATCTTTTCAAGACAAGCCGGAGTAAAGCCGATATGTTTTCTCGGAGATATCTATAGCTACGAGTAAGGATTCTAACATTTATGAGGCAGATAAGCAAGCGTTGTCAAGTATAGAAGTGCAGATCAAAGCCGCCCTTTGCCTCCACGATGCCGAAGGAGATAAAACTGAAAATATGATAAACTCTGACTCTAAGAGTTTTGCCTTTTGCGTTTTATAAACAATTGGTTATTCCCACGAGATTGGAATTTTCCCTATTTTCCCTCAAGACCGCTTATTTTATAGTCTATTAAAAGAGAGTCCCTCCTTTCTGTATAAATATRTATTAAATTAAGTGATGATTAGAAATATCCTCAGCGTGTTATTTTTACTTAAGGACAAATCATTGCAAATCCCTAGATTAATTTATAAAGATCGTAGATTGAAACTTGAGTGATTGACTTGCTAATATCCAGAGTAAACGTCAATGAAAACGCGAAAAGCAAACATATAGCCCTCTCTGTTTGTCATTTAGATCGTAACGAGAACAAATTGGAAGAATTCTGCTTGTTACGTGTTTTTTTGACCAAAAACAAATCAAACATTTGACATTAAGACTTTGACTACTGCATTGGTTGCTACGATACATCCAACAGTAATAAATTATAAAAAAATATTATGCAAATTTGGGTAGAATTCCGCTCCTAGTGACTCAAGCAATCAGCCAGGAGAGCATTTTATGATGCAATTATCGCCTCAGCTAGCGCCCAGCTATTTAACTTTTCTTTCCAGTCAAAACAATTTTTGTGCAAATTCTTCATTTTAAGGTGTTTATGTTCCTATTATGAACTTCACCCGTTGATTTAGCTATCAAGAAAACAAACGCGTGCTAATTTCTCCACAAATTATATTGGATTGCTAAGATTCAATAGCTCCCTCAACACTTCATAAATTATCTTGCGCAYATGTTAAGGCTGATAATAGTGAGTCATGAAAATGGTCTGATGAGCCCAAAATGAATGAGCAAGCGCTGAAACTACCCGCCAAGGATGTGAATTATCCATTTAAGATTGTTTGTTTTAAAGCTCTAAAGTTGAATTGAAACCCGTTTTTTGAAATACCAAGATCACTTAACACTGTGGAAGGTGCGCACTCTCAAAAAACACGGAATCTTTCTGGCTTGAGACGGTGTTCGCCAGATCTATTGTTTTCAGTGCAGAGGGTTATAATCGAAATAGTGACCAGATCACTCACGCGTTCATGGACTAAATATCGCGCATCATTACTGAATTTTAATACCGTAATCAATTCATTTTGTGATTTCTAAGTGAACAATTCACTAGAGAAGTGTTCATTCAAGCGGTTTTTCGTCCMAAAAAAATGTCTCGCTCCCGTTCAAAACTTTTCGATGCTGACACCAACCCTGGTGAGTTACGAATAACTTTAAACGTTGGTGGCCAGAAACACGAAACGTATGTGAGTACACTTGCAAGCGTTCCAGATACAAGACTAACATGGGTCGCAGAACGATGTTTAAAAGAACCGCGGACCTTAGGCCAGAGAAGAGAGTATTTCTTTGATAGAAACCCGAATGTATTTACGCACATTTTRAATTACTACAGAACTGGTAAACTGCATTGCCCCCGTGAAGTCTGTGGACCTCTTTTTGAAGAAGAGTTAATATTTTGGGGAATCGACGAAAAGCAAATTGAGACTTGTTGTTGGGCTAAATACGACGAACATAGAGACGCAGAAGAGAAGCTTCGTGGGTTTACGAAAATAAAAATTGAGGAGCAAGAAGATACAACGGATGATGAGGATGACACAGCTGATCGAGATATACTCAGCAGTGGGGAATTCTACCAAAATACACGGAGTATCTCTTCAAAATCGAAAACAAAATTTAAAATCCTWAAGAAGCGAATATGGAGGACGTTGGATGACCCCTACTCCTCGAAGCTCGCAAGGGTGAGTCATGTTGTTTTTAGACAATTATTTCAATACACATTGTACAAATGTTGGGTCGTATTCAGAATACACAAGACGTCATGACATAGTAGTAATGTTAGGCGGAGAAATTTCAGGATAAGAAGTAGAAAATTCTATTAAATGATTATATTTGTTCTTTTATTTGCGAAATGAAGAACAAAATTAATTCGATCCAACCAAAATTTTCCAAATAGTAATCATAATAAGTCCTTGAAACTTAAAATAGAAGAATGGCCGTGTGATCCTGACCACATTACTAGTGTTATATTCTTGTATCTTAGCATTAGGTATTGGTTCAATTAAGAAATTCCTAACCGGTCTGTCGGTTTTTGTAATTTTATGCGTTTAAATCACCCAGACCGGCTATTTTTTTTCAATCCATTACTACAAGGATTATCTATTCAGGCGTTTAGATGTTTTTCTCTGGGAAAAAATCTCTAATACTGTTGGTTCGGAGTAAAWTTTTATCTCGACTTAAGTCATTAAAACTCGATAAGTGAGTGAGTTTATAGCTAACGACTACATTTCATTTTRTTACATATTTTAAACAATTTTTCTYGTAATTTTACGCCTGCTGCCATCCGTTTCAGTGTTCAATTAAACGTGTCGAAAAACACGACTTTTGCATGAAAAACACCTTTCTTTAAGAAAAATTAAGTCAATTCTTTTCGTTCTCTTAATCTAGCTAACTCGACTTGAATAGTATTGATTTAAGTAAATACAGTTCCAAGGTATGAAATACGACGGATTTAGCGTCTTGCATTTTAAAATTAGAAAACACACTACCAAACAAAGGAGTCTATTGATACCAAACATCGCGATGACATGACCGTCRCTTCGTTTGTTTAGCCGCTATTAAATTTACTGATAGTTTGTTTCCATTGGCAAAGACGAAAATCATCGTCATCATTTTTCCCGCCTTTTCTTTCGTTTAGGGTAAATTGGCGAAAAATATTGGCGATCATATATTGACTTAGAAGATTGGAGCTTTAACAGTGGCTGAAAAAGAAGGGAAAAGACCCTAAGAAAAAGATAATAAWTCCTTAAAAAGTAATTTATAATTCTTAGGGTCTTCCATGGAAACGGCTAAAGTACAGAATGTCGCCATCCGATATTCAAGGAAGCGTCTMTTGTTGAACTTTGACATTTTCAAATTATTTTGAGCTTAAATTTTTACAGCGAYTTCACAACGAATTTTTCTTTCCTTAATTTTCCTTGTGGGTTTCAAAACCAGCTGTTTCATTGTTGCATTAATGCACTGAAATAGTTGAGTAAATTTTGTTTTTATTCCCTCTCGAATTTGAATTAAGAAAACCCATTTGTCTGATCTACACACTAATCTACTYACAGTTAAATTTACATTTTTYTARTACAAAATTTTGTATTTTTGTTCAWAAAAGTACGAATTTAGTGTAACAGTTTTGAAGCTAACAAAAATAGTACTAGCTTCATACAATTTGACTTTYATTTTTCGGTGTATTTTAGTTCAAATGTTTTCCTTGGCTTTAAATTTCAGAAACTAAAAGAATTCAAGCAAATGAACATTTGTTATTCGGCCACTGAACAAGTCATTCTCGAAAGAACTCTTTTTCAACAGATCATTATTCTTTTAAATATTGTTTGCATGCCGTTTTGCCTCAGTTATATAAACAACTAGGTTTTGGATAATTGTTCTAGGTGRAATTCAATATATTTAGGAGTAATTAAAAAGCTATTTTTCTGCTTTCTTATAGCTTAGTTCTTCAGAAGAGAGTAACTTTTCGTCGAACATGGGAATGTTTATTCAAACCTAAAGGGCAAGAAATCGCTCGATTCAGTCGTTTGTTCTCCACAAATATCATGAAGAACGTGTCGAAATAAAAGCAAGTTTCAAGAGATAAAAAATTGCTTCTATCCTTCGATATTTTATTATGTATTATTGCGACAGTCAGAGCAATCAAAAACCCAAAAGAACTCCGATATATTACATTTTTATATGCCTCGAGATAAAATATATATCAGAATTCWTGATTATTTTGAGACGAATTATACTTCATCCTAAATTCCTCATTATAATGATGACATTCTGTGAGCGAAGGAAACGGAGCAGCGTCTGACTCAGAGCGAAAGAGTATTTCAAGTAAATTGTTCCATTAGGAATCAATCTGTCAAATAAAAATAGATTATTCTATCACGTTGACGAGAGATTCTAACATGAATAAAGATAAGTCTACACTTTCTGAAGCGGAAGTTATGGTATGCGGTGAAATTCGCCGCTTCCGTCAAATGGGGTCCTCTCAAACAATCAACTCTTACATGAAATTGCTTTTTCCCTTGTATCTAATGAAAAATGTGTTGCTAAAGAAACGCCAAGTGGCTTCTACGTAGATTTTAATAATAGAAAGTTATATCTTAATCTTTTAATTCTGAAACTCTTCTTTCCCTCCGTGGTTTGGAGTCGCTTGGCATCGCCAAAGGTGTGGTGTCACGTGGTGTCACGTGGTGCCGCGAGGAATTATGGGTTATTGTAGCAAATGTTGTAGTTTTCGAAAAATACAAGGTTTTAATTTATTTTCTTTTTCTTCTTTTTTTCTTTCTTTTTTTCTTTCTTTTTTTCTTTCTACATTTCATCGAATCTAATTCAACTTTCTTGTTGGGTATTTCCTTAATTCTTTCTTTCTTATCTTATTTTCTTCTTCCTTCCTTCCGTGCGTTCTTTCTTTCTTCATTTTCTTCATTCTTTTCCTGACGTACATTAGACATTATTTTAACCATAAGCAGTTAGATTAAGTTTCGCTAATTTTTTAGACTTTTCGCCATATGCATATATTGTTATATTGTTGTTGGTTACAGAATCAACAGGCGTATACACCTATCCAATAAACGTTGTCATCGCCAAAGAAGATAGGCAATAGGTGAAAAGCGATAGGATATAGGTCATTCCAAGATCCAAGAATAGCTGGAATGACTTGTGTTTCTGCTTCTTATTCTTGTCAAGAACATGGACCTTAGTGTTGAGACTGATTCAATGTTCTTCGTATTCAACGAAACCATTTCCATGTCGAAATGAGCTATCGCCTATCGCCTTTGGCGATGACAACGCTTTTTAAAATAGGTGTACACTTAACATGTTAATATATTTATCATGAAAACTCTTTTTCAAGTGCTGTAAGCATACAAACAAGAATACAAAATGGTCTTCTCATTATTGGTGATAAAATCGRGACTTTTCATTAGGGGGGAAAACGTTCGTATAAACAAACCTTGCYATTGAGAAGTTAAGGCGACATCTCGATAAAAAAAGAAAGAAATTTTCCCATAGTCACCAAGTTATTCAGAATAAGAATTACTAGCAAATTGCCTTATCTACTGATGAGCGCCGGGACGAACAGTTTGACAAAGCAGATGGCGAATGGCATTACCATAAAGTTGCGACATACTTGCTGTTATGCTTTGTATAAAACTATGAAAACACAAACACAAGCCCTTTTAATCAGTTGAGGACACGTCGTTTTTTAGTAATTTGGCTTATTTGTGACGTCATGGCCGCCATATTGGATTCTAAATTTCGCATGCATTTTTTATTAGTGGAGTTTTTGACTGGAAATTCAGAGTATTTGACTGGAACTTTCGAGAAAAAATTCCTGGTCAAAAATTAAATAATCAGGAACCGGCTAGACGAACCCACAGTGGCCCATAAGTAATATGTAGCAAGTTAGACGAATTGCTACATAAAAAACGATCGAGTTGCTGCACTTTAGACGAGTTGCTACATAAAAGAAACGWGTTTCCTATTTGCAGCAACTCATTTCTTAGAGCAGTTTTCGTATGACTATGAAAAGTTCACGGCACGAACACGGTCGTGATACGGCAAGGGATACGCCAGACCAATTACATTGGTCAATAATTAATTCTTCATCCAATCAAATGCCCGGCGGAACATGGCATGGTGAACACGGCGCGGACACGGACATGTCACGGCACTGCCAGACCAATCAACAATTTGCGCGAGAAATCAACTCATTAATATTCTAGAAAGCATCAAGGTAACGGCACGGCATACTTACGGCACTAACCTTTACAGTCATGCGAAAACTGTTCTATTTATAGCAACTCGTCTAATATGCAGCGACTCATTCCTTATTTGTAGCAACTCGTCTAACTTGCCGGTACATATCCCTAATGGGCTACCGTACGAACCAGTAATCATCTCATAGCTTACCTTTTCACCATGATAATTGCTAAGCTAATTATCCGACACATTTTTACGCGAGACAATTTCATTTAAAGCTACTGATGTTCTTTCAAACAACATCATTAATTATCAATCCGCGAAAGGTTTTCGKCAAGAAAAAGGCTAGCGTGTTGAAACTTGTCTCGGCATCGTCCGTTGCTTTCCGTGATTTCGCTGTAAAAATTTAAGACAAAAAATAACAATATTTTTATTTTAGAGGCAAATGAATAAGAATAGTTTGAGCAAGAAGGAAGAGGGAAGAGCAGAAAAAGGCCAAACCTAATAACCACCTCGGAATGTAGTACCCCAAAATCTGGCTTCGAATTTATTATCGCAAAACTATAATCTAACYAGAATTACTCCACGTTTCCGCAGGCTTTGCAACGACAATTTCATTCAAATAAAAATATACCCCACTTCAAAAATGGTTATCAGAGCCAAAGGTGATAGGCTGGTGACAACCAATAGGAGATATCTGATTATTCCAGATTCCAAGAATAGCTGGAATGACTGGCGTTATTAATATTTTCGTCAGGAACAAGGAGGTTAAAGACCGTGTTGAGATATCCAGTGATGTTCGTAGTCGACAAAACCATCATACGGGTTTAGTTGAATCATACCCATAATTCCTTTCCGTCTCGTAATGATCYGTCGCCTTGTTCGCCTTTGCGAACTCCGATAACTTTTTTTGAAGTCGGTGTATCAGATGTACTTCGTTAATTCAATCGTTCCATAAAAAAAACTTTCTTCTTTCATTGAGCCTCGGGTATCAKTTTATTTTGAGATAGACTGAGATAGACGCGTTCCACGTCTCCTTTTCATTAAATCAGTTTTGAATGAGGAAGTACGAGTCTCCACAAAAACGCGCCTGTGGTACGATAACGTCTAATCGTCCTTATGGTCAGTGCASTGAACGTCAATGAGACGTTATTTCACCTGTTAAACAAGTTAAAAGTGTTTATTTTAGCTTGTTGGAAGATCTGGAAGATATATTTCCAATAAGATACTAGTTTGCTCGAGTTCGATCTATATTTACCCAGTTTTGCCCCCACCCCCATTCAGCGTAGTGAGTAGAGAAAGAAATATTACTCTTGGGAATGGCTTAWGATAGTTAGATACATGAGAAAGCATACGCCGTTGACACCAATCTCGTACCCAGAGCCTGCATTTCTTCTGGCCTGCGGCGAAGAACGAGGGCTCTGGCATAATCCATTTCTTGGACTTCCGGTATAACAGCGCACGCGTTCAAAGACTTGCCAAAAATTAGAAATATTTTTTCCCCCAATTTCTAATCTGTACTATGATTTTAACTTTGATTTTTAATTCGATTTAATTTTTTCTTTGCTTATTTTGATCGTTTATATCTCACTTTCCGAAAATTGCGCATGCGCCAAAATATGGATTATGCCAGAGCCCTCGTTCTTCGCGGCAGGCCAGAAGAAACGCAGGCTCTGGGTACGAGATTGCGTTGACACTAGAGAAAAACGTTTGCGCATGCGTGCATTTTAGCACGTTTTCTAAGAATTTTGAAGAGTTTGAGTGAGAAAATAAATGTTTGTTTTCTCCAAGTATACAAAAAAGTTCGAGAGTATACTTTTGTCAGACCAAGATACTGTTTTAACAAACACAATATGACAGAATTAGCCCTAAGCTTCGAGCATCAACACTAAGTTTTGGCATTTTGTGAAGTCCAATTTACTAGGCATGTTTGAAAGTCAAGTTTACATATGTTTTGACTAATTTGCATACTCGTGTCTACGCCGTTCTCATAAGTCCACAAGTGCACGAAAACGAGGTCACCCAGTAATTAGTTCACAATAAAAGATATACAAGCACATCTAAAGCGAAAGGTTAGCAAATTGACCGATTGTTTTGACCTGTATTTGTGCTATCCACCTATGTATTTTGAATGACCAGCCTTGCTCAGCCTTTAAGATAACTGGGTGGCCTCATTTTCGTGCGCTCATCAGCCATTATGAGAATGGCCGTGTATATTTAACCAACACTAGCACTCTCCGAATTTTATATTCTTTGACGTTCTTTTATTTTCCTTTTCTTTCCATGCATTTGCTTTTAGTTTTCATTCTTTTTTCATCCTATCTTATTCACTTCTCTTTCCACTCTCGGTATTCTCTTCCAACGTGCCTAATAATCTCCAAGACAATCAGCCGTCGATTTTTCATCAGCTAACACAGGACTGAATATCTCTTATCTTYGAATCACCTCTTTGATTCCAAATTTGGTTAGTTCCAAAATCTTATAACTACGACATTTATTCCATAATCTGTTGAGATTTTCCTGCGAGATTTGCAATATTCCCAGCTATACTAGCATATCAGTATTTTCTATTTCCTTTTGAAGCATTGTTCGTAATCCCGTTGAGTGGTATTGAAATCAGCATTCTTCTAACGAGAGAGTACTTAATGACAGAAGTGATAAMGAAATGCTCTCAGAAGGAAATGGGTTTATTTGTCTTCGTTGGCGTTGATATCTCCTCACCGGCTAAGCTTTTCATTCATTTCGTGGTTGATCATTATAATTGGTTCGTTCGCTGCCTCGAATGGGGCTTTAAAATCAAGAGGTTTATACACGTCTTTGGCCGTTCGTTCGCCATAAGCCAAGAACATATCCGTAATTTGTATTGTTTGGCAAAGGACGTTGCGAATATTCTTTTTTATTCTTAGACATATTGGCCCTGAAATATTGGACCGTTATAGCTATTATCATCCCGGAATATACTGTACCATAAGCTTTCCATGAAAAACGCATAACTGAGATAGCTTATAATAAAACCAAAAAAGKATTTCCTAATTGCTTACTATCAATCATGTGACTTTTTGGAGTTGACTGGGGGGCAAACAAGCGGTTGACTGGGGGGCAACTAGCGGATGCTAAGTCAAAACGTGTCAAAATAAGTCCTCAAACTATTGTATTTGACTGTTTCTACGACATGAAACCAGAAAACAAGAGATCAAAACAACCTCCAAGATTCTACAAGCCATTTAAAAACGCAACTATTACCGGAAGTGACATCTATTGATAGCAACCTGTACTCCAGTTTCCCTTTATCTTTTGCTCAGCCTTAGCGTCAGTTGTGCGTTAAAATATTCARCCATTCAACCAAAACCCGTGGCATTGTATTCAAATCGTATTGTTCCGTACTACCTACTTTACTTACTATCTGAGCTGTAGAGAAACTATTGTAAAGTACCAGAAAAACCTTATTACCAAAATATATCTGAGATATTTTTATTATGTCATTTGGATTAATARTTTTAAATCAGAGAAATGAAAATCAATGCGCTAAAATAGCATAAGGGAATCAGGACTAAAGATAAAGAGACGCTGTTAAAGAAAAGAAATCTGTTTCAATAACGACTCCGTCGTGTGGCACAACCACGCTTCGCTTGTCACGCACAAAGATACGCGCGAGACTACGTGCTAAATTAAATTCATTCTTTTCTCCTGTCACGAAGCCTCGCATTGAAGAATATTGTATGCGTTACTGACTAGTATTTGGACGCGTTTGGATCGAATTTCATCAATGAAGCCACTTTGAATTRCTGTCAAGTACTCATCTTAAGACACATAACTTCATAAAGCTCTAAAAAAAAGTTTTGAATTATTGAAAAAAGAACATTGCTTAAGAAATGATGCGGAAATCAATGCACGTTTTTGGGCTGTAAAAGGGGAGACATGTATTTGTACTTTTTTAATTATATGTACTTTTTCATATTACAGCAGTTTATATGCATGTACGGCCATTTGATAATGCTTTCATGAAATTATTTTTGAATGAAAAGAAGTACCATTTGCGCAACTCGAGTGGAAATGTTACTGCTTATACCTATTTTATTTGCTTCGTAATTTATTCCGACATCATAGAAATATCATCAGAATATTTAATCAATTAAATTACAACTGTTGATAAAACTTACATTATTAAAGTGACGTTCGTATGAGTGGGAAATGGCAAGTCAAATTCGTAGACATAGTGTCATATCTYATCGTAAAGCCGTAAACTACGCGTTTTCATTTGTGAATTAGTAGAAGACAATGGGAAACCATTTCAATGTTACGCGGTATGTTGTACCGTGTACGTGCTGTAAGTCAGTACCGTATGTTTCCCATTCATACGAAAACCATTCCTATGGGAAGCCATGTCAATGTTACAGCATGTCGTACCGTGTACGTGCTGTAAGTCAGTACCCTGCCTTTCCCACTCATACGAAAACCAAACCTTTCTTATGGGAAGCCATTTCAATGTTACGGCATGTCGTACCGTGTACGTGCTTTAAGTCAGTACGAAAACCTTTCTTATGGGAAGCTTTTCAATGTTACGCGGCATGTCGTACCGTGTATGCATGTACTGTAAGTCAGTACAGTATGTTTCCCATTCATAAGAAAACCATTCCTATGGGAAGCCATGTCAATGTGACAGCATGTCGTTCCATGTACCTGCTGCAAATCATGCAGTACCGTATGTTTCCCGCACACTTGAAAACCGGTGCGTCCAGCCAGTATTGATGTTATTATTATTCTTCGTTTTTTTTAGATCATTGGTTTCATTTCGTTGCTCTTCAGTGTAGCTGTGGTTGCCAAGTTTTGTCTTTCAACGCTGGAGTTCTTCAAGGATCAATCTTCGGCCCACTACGCCGGTCTCTTTATAATCGAGGCGGTGGCCGTCACGTGGTTCACTGTCGATCTTATTCTTCGCTTCATCTGCTGCCCGAACAAATTGGACTTTGTAAAGGATCTGCACAATTGGGTTGATCTAATGGCAATCATTCCGTTTTATTTGACTGTCCTTCTACCACACAATCGGACGATCAGGAATTTCAACGTCTTTTATGTCCTGCGTTTAACGAGGACTTTTCGTCCGCTGAAATTTTCCTACGTAATGCAGGTCTTTACACAGACTTTAAAAGCGAGTTCGCGGGAGCTGTACTTCCTAATGTTCATTCTCGGGATACTCGTAATTACTTACGGGAGTGTCGCTTACTTTGCGGAACGTGATGAGAAAGATACTTTATTCACCAGCATTCCTGCTTCGTTTTGGTGGGCTGTGGTTACTATGACGACGGTAGGATACGGCGATATGCATCCAAGGACGTTGTCAGGGAAACTTATTGGGAGCGTGTGTGCAATCAGTGGAGTCTTGATGATTGCGCTCCCAGTTTCCGTGGTGGCCAGTAATTTTTCATTGTATAATTCCTACGCTAAGGTGAAGTTAAAACTTCCRGCTCGGCAAAAACGGAACGTCGTTGACACTGCTCTGAAAGCACTCCAACTCAGTACTCCGCATCAGAGCTTGTGCACAGGGAACCCACCAGAAAACTACACCAGGTCGCGGTATGGCACCTCTTTGCCCGGTCTTACGGAGATGACAATTCTAAATCACTCAAATAAAAGAGGTTCGATAGGAGAAGATGGGAATAATATAAATCACTTGAGCGAGAAGGAGGCGCGCCCGCGATACGCGCGGCGTTCCGCGCATTTTTCACTTCATCTCGGCTCGATTGCTGCAACTCCTGAGCTGCCTGAGAACGAAAGCGAAGCGGAGGAGAATGACAATTTGATGAATTCTGAAAACAATTCTTTAGATCGATTTGAAATACAAGAGACAGGAACATGAAATAAGGAAAAAAATTAAAGGCTCGGACACACTGTGCCGATGGTGTTTTCAAAGGATCAGCGTTACAACTTTTCCTGCAGAAAAACTATGAAATAAACACACACCTGTCGCACACTGAAGAATCACGCGTATCATTGGCTGAGAAATTTGATGCCCGTAACGGCTCTTCTGCTTGGCCTTAACCGACAATGTTGTGCGCAACAGTTTTAGAGGTGAAAATTCGAGGGTGCATGAAGATATGAAGATATGAAGATATGAAGATATGAGAGTAATGGGGCACCGAAGGGTAAAGGAATGAGGGTCAAAATAACCTCCCTTCCCTGCCTCCAACTGACGATCTCTGTACGTGCGATAAATTCCTTGTATTGTATATTGTTGGCTAAATAATAATGAAATACTCTTTTTATATTTCAAATGGACCCTTCTTCTCAAAAAAGTATCGCGGATCGATGCGATGCTAACATGGGAATACAAAGAAATTCAAAAGAAATCCTGCTTTTTTTCTCGATGGAGATTGTGTCACTTCTCTTATATTTCAATTTTAGCCTCGCATCCAAAATAATTTCGACTTATGATACAGTCCCAGTTTTTAACTCTAGTGAAGTCTTAGTTTTGGCAAAAACGTCTGCACCGCACAGGTTGCCAGACTYAATATTATCAGCCTAAAACTATTTTTCTATTATAGACTATTGAGCATTTTGTTGTTATTGTGGCTGCTGCTTTTGCTGCTGTTTTTCTTGCTTTGAAAGATAAGAAATATCGGGGTAGAAGTGGGCAAAGGGTTTTCTTTGGGGGGGGGAGGGGGGACTGCCCCTCCCCCCCCCCCTCTCACTCATTTATCGATTTAAGCCTGCTATTACTTTCTATTCGAGTTGCGAAAGTCTATGAAAGAGCGATATAACACGTCACGTGATCACTTGCCGCCATATTGGGTAAACTATTTACGAATTCCAAAATGCGTCTGAAAGATATCACGTGGCGAGGTGTTAGTGCGTATTACCGCTGACATTCAAGATTTGAGAAGTCGAAAATTCAATTTGTTCTGAATCAACATGTGAACAATAATATTTAGATAGACAAATAGAAACACTATATTATATMAGTATACTGATATAAATATATGTTAAGATATATATCATCATAAACGAATAAAAATGCGAAATGAATTTAACGTTGATTGGTTCACTATTGTCTGAGGGGGAAACCATGTATTGCTTTCACAGTTGATGGGTTGCAAGCATTCCCAAGAGAGTTAAAAAACAAAAACACGGCGGCCATTGTGGTACCGTTAGCAATGGATGCTAATGAGAAATCTTTTGATAAATGGCACCAACATGGCCGCGATGACGTAACGTGCAAACGAAGAGTAGAAATGAAAACAGGAATGTGAAAAGTAAATTCGAGCTCTTGTCTGTTCTGAGCAGAGCAAACCTAATGCTTTTCACCAAACGAATTAATGTAATCTAGGTAAGAATTTTWCAATAAAATTCTTTAAGGCGCTTTTCATTCGCACACGCAATAAATCGTGCAATTTTATTTGCAGAGAAAGGTTATGGTGGACGTCAATCAAGGCGTTTCCATGACATTCCAAAGACACGTGCCCATGAAAGCTTTGTGTTTTCCGACGTCATAGAATCACTTTAATAGGGACCTTAAGCTGCAGGACGGCAACGACGACGACGACGGCAAGCATACAATAGCACTAATTGCGCTATTCAATAGATACTCGTTGAAATGTACGAAATACTATGCATCATTGCCGTCTTATGCTGAAAGTAAGACGTGAAATGTCCTATTTTTDCGTACTAAAGAGAACGGCTACGCCAAAAGCTTATCTTTGCTGATTTTCCTTTTAAGTAAAGCGTTCCCAAAACACGTCATTTCACTCTAAATATTTTACTCAATAAGAATCCCCGTTTTAAATACGAAATAATAATACAATAGAAGGTTGAAGCGCCTCAATTTCGCCGACGTTGCCGTCCTGCAGCTTAAGGTCCCTAATAGTCCCCTTCACAGTTCCCTGTGCCATCTTGAAAGGTAGCCGTGCCTTTGCATCGAAGCGAGACGAACGGTGAGCTTGCAGTGATAGAGATATGCGAATAATTGTCCTTGGTGTTAAAAAAAGGTTAGTACTACCTTTCAAGATGGCGCAGGGAACTGTGAAAGGGACTACTGATTGACGCYCACCAAAACTCTATTTTGTGGCGATAGAAAGTTGTACGATTTCGCGTGAGAAGCGATTAAAAGGCGCTTTAAACATCGCCTGAATTTTTTAGTTCAAGGAAAACTTTGTGTCAGTAGAAAAAGTTATCATGACACTCAAATGACTTCCCAAACTAAGCACTGTGATTGGATAGATAATCTAGCTTTTCTAATTGGTTAACGGGGGAAGCCATTTGAGAGTCAAGATGACGTTACATTTTCCTCCAACGAGAAAAGAAATCGGCTCTAATTCAGAAAAAGATCAACGATATCAGATTAAAAACAATAAAATGACAAACTGCTAACGAAATCTAAAGCAATGAATAAAAATAAAGTAAGTTTTTTGAGTCAGTGTGGGCGATAATGTGAAAAAGCGAACTGTGATTGTCTTTACAGCATTTTCGCCCATGGCGGACATCTTTTTGTTAAGTATATAAAGGAATGTTAAATGGTATATAAATTGGTTAATTGCCAATWTTTATTTATTCTAGTTTCAAAATCCCATGTCTTTATCTGAAGATCTAGTTTCCTGGAGCGAAATAACCGAGTTTTCTGATCTATTGAATTTTCGTCTCTATTCGCACAGCAAGACTCGCACATCCTACAGAACTGAATGAGGAGGAGAATGATGACTAAGAATACGTAGGAAATGAACCTTCRAAGGAATAATCAAATAACTCTTTAGAAAAACTCTCTTCATCTTCATTTGAGAGAATACAGGTATAGAATCAATACTATATCGTCAATTCCAGGTAAGTACTAAGAAAACTTAGTGTAAATAATTTTACYTTAAAACCTTTAAGAAGTGAAAAACTATAAGAGAGTTCAAACGAAAACATCACCAATGTTAGTGTGTATTACTAGATTAGCTTTAAAATCCTTAAGGCCGGTTTAGACGGTACGATTTTCGCCTACARCTATCGTATACAACACGCTCGCGTCTGTCGTAGGCGAGTTGTAGGCTTGATTTACACGCTACGACTCGAGTTGTAGGATGGCGCGAGCGTGTTGTATACGATAGTTGTAGGCGAAAATCGTACAGTCTAAACCAGCCTTATATAGAAATTGCCGCTTTTTCGCAAATGGAATTTGGGCCATAAACAATAGCGGCCTATTGGCTGTAAGATCTCGTTTTTTCTCGTTTGTTTTTGAGAACTTATAGCACTAAGAAAGTGAACAAGCTCACTGAGGGAAAGTCGTTTGAGAAAAATCATAACATCAAATCAATCAGATTTCCTATAAAAATTTAAATATAAAAAAGTCAACTTTTTRAGTTTTACAAAGCCGTTTTAATCTCTTACAAATTCAAAGTATCAAATCAAATYGAATTCAAAGTGGAAAAATATACTAAAAAATTTCAGTATTCTGAGGTGTTAGAAAATCCTATTTTTTCTCCTACAAAGCAAAGAATAATATTGAGTTTATATTCACTTCTACATATCTAGTGAAGATATGCATTCTTGCATGCTTTTCTAGATAGACTTAGTATGTCTGTTTTTAAAGGAAAAACGTCTTACTTATACTTCATTTTTGTCCWAAATACATGAATTTCTAAATCAATTTTGCGAGTTGTATATATTCATTCGAAATCTCTCGTAATCCAAGTTTTCCTTATCGATATATTGAGAATCTTGATATAAAYTTATTGAAGATAAAGTCGTTTTTCGGATACAATCGTTACAGTCTTGATAAACGAAKCGCCACTCAATGTTGTCACCAAGTTTTTCCGTTTTCGTTCATGACTTTTTTGACTCTAAAACTAAAATCTTACTGYGCTTTTAAATTATTTTGTTCCCTTAAACGCTTGGAAACTTATCGCATAATCGTGATTTCTAAATCTATTACTGCAATTTTCACAAACATGCGAACTCTGTGTCTGCTCGCTGCTCGCTGAAATGTGGTTTTTCGCTGCCGTCAATGATGATCAAACCTWATCA